TGGGGAACATGCAACAAGTACATTCTTCAGCCATAGATCTGCATCACAAGACAGACACAAAAAACACGCCAGAACAAAAGCAGTAATGTCCTCTGAATCAAACACAGTCTTTCAGAGAAGATGGGCAACTAGAAGAAACAAACAAACAAACAAACAAACAAAAAAGGATATTCCTAGGTTTTCATAGGATAGAAACCATCTGACTGCTAACCTGATTAGCACCAGGCAGCCTGCTGCACTGTATGGACCCAGCATTTATATTTGCAGAGCAGATTCACAGAAGGGCAGAAGCAACAACTCCTCAATGAGATTTTATCTTGTTACAAGGAGCTTATCCTCCAGGGATGACCTCACAGTGCTTAGCACCCTCAGAAGCTTGTAAGGCTGAGAAGGGAAGTTTCTCCTCCATTCAGAAGATCTGCTATATTTCAGGCACCAAAGCCTGGCTCTGGCTTTCAGATGGCTGCAAATGTGACAATGGAAACTTTACCAAAAACAGTGTGTTTTTGTAGGCACACATGAGGGGAAGTCTGGGTGGAACAGCTCCCAGACAGCTGCTAAGAAAATACTGACAGAAAGGGTGGAGAAAAGGAAGTGAAGCAATGCTAGAGCTCCATCCAGGCAACAGCTTAGTTTAACCCTTCTGGTCATCAGCTGAAAGAGCAGCTGCCACCATCAGCACACTGCACGGCCATGAGCTCTCAGAGTAAATGGGATTAACCTTTGTAGTACCACTTGTTGGAACTCTGCTGAAAAACCATCTTCGTGGTTGACTATAAGCATTGTACCATGCAGAACATTGCCATACTCTCAGCCTGATGGGTGCCCAGAGGGCAGCAGCAAGTCATCAGCAGAGTGGAAGAGGCCTGCACGGATCAGGAACAGTGAAGGAGACAGAGCAGTGAGTTTCCTGCTGTGTCAGGTTATTGCTAAGACAGGACTGGAGTGAGGATAAAAATCTAAAGGTAGTCAGCATGGAAACACTTCCTTGCAGATGGCAAATTCAGACTCAAAGCCATCCAGCTTGTCTCAGTTGCTGCTAAGCAGGCTATGGGATAGCACGTGCCACAACATCCCCAGTCGTTCATGGCGCTCACTCCCCACCAGACGTCACCCCACAGCTCCCTCTTCTGACACATATCTCAGTTTTCGCTCAGAAATGATCCCATTTAACTTCAAGGGATTGTTTTCTCCTCTAAAGCCAGGTCATTTTGATGGCTGTTGGTGTAGCACAAGCCCTTTGGCAGGAAGTCCTGGGGAGCAGCACCTCACGCACCAAGCAGGGAGTTGCAGCCTCACGCTGAAGCCTCAGATGGCAGCAATGGGTGCACTATGTAACAGCAAGGTGGTCAGTCCTCACATCCCCAGAAACACGGCTGCTGGGCTACAGGAAGGGAGAAGGTAAAGGATGAGAGACGTGTTCTGGGAATGAGCTGACCCCTCTCTTCCCTGACACACTACAAACATTCAATTAGCTCTCCATCCACAGAAACTGCACGTCAAAAGAGGAAGCAATTTATATTCATCTCCAGCAACAAAGAGAACGGGGGATTGAAGAGTGATTTTTGCCCGCAGTGGCAGTTTCTTCACAGAGCTAGAAATAGATCCCAGCTTTCCTGGAAACACACACAGGCTTTCTGAAGCAGGCTAAATCGAGGTTGAACATACAGAAGAAAATCAGTAAGAGAATATTCTTTTTCATTACACTTTGTTCTTAAAGCTGACCGGTATGAACGATTTGAGAAGCATCTGCACTGTACCAGGAGACAATTTCTGAAAGCCAGGGAAGAAATGTAGCACCACTTCCATGTCACAAGCAACAAACCTTTGCACACTGATCCGTTTCCCTCCCCTCCTGCTCAGTCACGTTTCAAATAACCCTTTGCTTAAGAGCAGATCTTTAAAGATGTTATGCAAAGTGGTGAGCACCAAGAGACTTAGATCACAGTTGGGTCTTATTTTCTAATTAGCTGACAAACACATGTAACCATTATGCAGGCAGAGGATTCTCCTGGCCATCTCACTTCCTGGCCAGAAGAATCAATACCACAGTGCTCTGGTGCTTTTGTCTGCTCAGTTATGAACTCAACTGCTGTATCTGCCCAATTCCAGCTCTCCCACAGGAAGGGATGTGGGCAGAGATGAGGATTCCTAACTTGTTCGCCCATCGCAGTTACGTTGAACGTGCCTCATGCTCAGAGCAGCCAAAATCACAGATTCATAGAAATATTAAAAAGGCATTTGCAGCAGCCTCCAGGCACAACCTGCTTCCCCAAGGGACCAATCTCAGCACAAAGAACTGTTGCTAAAACTTGAGTGAGGTCATACATCTGGCAAATATAACGGCAACAAATTAAACTACTTTTTTAAGAACTTGGCTTGGCTGCCTGTGTGCCTTGGAGATCCAAAACAAAATATTTAACTCTTCGTAGCCTCCTCCTGCAGAGCTTACCACAAGCAGTTTTCATGCCATATCACCCTCACAAGGTGCAGAAGCGATATCAGGCTCCTTGTTCACAGCTGATCCATTGCTTCTCGGGTTAATGGCTTTGCAAATCAGTTACTGTAGATATTCCCCAAGTAAAATACAATTTAAAAAACAAACAAACAAACACAAATGTAAAAGCAGAAGTGGATTCAACTCATTCTGGAAGCTATCCTGACCTCAGCATGTGGAAACATGGTGCTCCATGGATGGAGCTAAGCACAGAACCCAGGGAGAAGATGGACAGGAGGATTTGGGCTCCTCAAATGTTTTTTTGAGCTTATTGCTCAAGAATGATTACTTAAAGTGTTGTGCTTTCCACATCTCACCTGCCTCCCAAGTAATACCCAGGTATTAGAAGTGCTGGTACATTTTAAGTCCTGATATTCAGCTCAAGGTAAGAGGCAATAGGAAGGGGACACTGAAATGAAAGCATGCTGCCAAGATACAGGACAAGGAAATGATTGAGATGGAGAGCACTGTCAAAAGAAATCCCCTTCTTACCACCTAAATCATGTGGAACTTGGTAGATTCCCCCTTCCCTTAGCTCTTCACACGCACCCATGGCACATTACTTTTACAAGAACAGGTTTCATTGATCAAATGAATACTTCTAAGAAGCTGAGTAGGGAAAAGCAACTTCCCCTGCATCCCACTAGCTTGTCCTTCAGCACCTGAGCATCTCATCTGTTTTACAAGCACAATTATCTTTCAAACAGACTCGCTTAATGTCTGAAAGAAAAAAAGCATCTTTATCAAATGTGCCCGAGTCATTTGTACCTTATACAGTACTTTAGGGAGAATGGCAAATCACTTCTGTGGCGTCCAAGACATTAGAAATTACCAATTAAGAGAAGTTTAAAAATTGATGGCCGCTGGAACAGCTCGTTTTCACATCCTCTCCATACCCACACCTCAAAAGCCAGCTCACAGCGCTGGGGATCAGGTTGACAAATGAAGGTCTTGCAGCTCATTTTTGTCACTGTTTCAGAGGCAGGACAGGCACACACATCAGAATCCCCTCCTCCCAGCCAATCCATCACATCAGTTCATCTCAGCTAAAACGCTTACAGTCTCTCTCTCTGTCTCTGTCTCTCTCTCTCTGTGGAAAGCCACTGAAAGCTTATAGCAAGAGAATGGAAGTTTTTCAGTGAAGTGATTCCATTATCGTAATCTGACAGAAAATAACATTAATCAGACTGGGAGCTCAGAAACACAAAACAATCTGTGATAGAACACAGAGAAACTCACATTTGCAATCCACCCAAAAAGCACGGAAACGAGAAAGCTTCATGCAAATGAAAGAGAATTAATAAAAATAAAACATAAAAACAGTGACAGTGCCAACAGGGGCTAAAGACATGGAAAGCACCAGGATGGAAAGAGCAAAAACCTCCTGGTGATGGCAGGGGATGCAAACAGCCTTGTCCACGTGGGAAGAGGATTAACACAGTCCAGACACAGTACAAGCAGACTGCAGCAGGAACAGGTGCAAAACACTGGTGTAGCCTTAAGGTCTGTAAAGCTCTGTGTGAAAGAAGGGTGCCAGCCAAGTCGCAAGCATCTGCGATGCCCACAGCACATCTGGAGATGGGGGCTTTGGAAGCTCTGGAGTCTGGCAAACAAGCATGACTGTCACGGATTGGGAGAGAAGCAAACTCCCAACGGTGCAGAAAGTCGTGGGGAGGGTTTGGTGAACCCTGAGACACTCAAGTTCCTACAGCTCATCTCTTGAGAATGTACAGAACAGATTATTACAATAATTCGTGTGTGTTCGCAAAAGCTATCTTGTAGAGCAGTGTGTACCACAAGTCCAAATTCTTTTGCAACTACATACTGAACACCTGCTAAAGACCTGCAAGTCTTAGGAGCGTGTGATGCAGGGAAGGGGGTGAGTGATGAGCTGTTCAGCTGTAAAATCATCTGCAAAATGACTGAAAATTAAAGGCAGTCCAGCGTGAAAAGAGAAAAGGTTTCTGACTGCAGCCAGTGTGCTGCTATCTGGTTGCCTTTTCTCCCCCTCTCCCCTTCCTTTAAATTAAATAAATGGACAGACACAAAACAAAAGCTGCCTGACAATCCACCCAGCATCTGACCTAGCAGAACTAGGGCCTCTCCTCTAGCCTCAGCACAGCACAGTCTTCCACAGACTGCATGAGGAAGCAGGTTAAACCCCACCACTGGGCTAACCTCTGTACAAAATCAGCATTTAATCCACGCCATCAAATTTGCCAGGCACGAACTGGAACTTGGTGAGGCAGACCATTCAACAGGTGCTAACTAGGATCTGTGATCTGAGAACAGAGGGGAGCTCCCACTGGCCAGGACATTCTGGGAGATTTTCCTTGAGCCACACAGCCAGCAACAAACCATCTGGCAGCTCTAGAATGCTTAAACGCTTTAACTGAGCAGCAGCTAAGGCAGGAGAGATGAAACCTTTTGAGATGGTCCTCAAACCCCTCACTGGTTCCTACAGTACCTGGAAGACATAAGAAATCACAAAAATCATCCACTCTTACAAATAAAAATCTTTTATTTTAGTAAAGTAACAAAGCTTTGTATTTACAGATACAGTAACTGTACACATGAATTAAAAATTGATTACTTTCCAAACCATTGAAGTCACCCAGTCTGTTAAGAATACAAACCCCTGCAACCTCCAAGGGCCTTCAGCGCTCCTCTTTCACAAACTCAATTCTCTTTGTTCTGAACTATTTTCTGCTGGTTCTCCAGAAACTCCTTCAGCTTGTTCTCCGTGAGGGTCAGCCTCTGCTCCAGGATGGAAACTGTCTGCAAAACAAAAGGAAAGCTGCCGCCGAGCCACGCAGAGAGACAAGCTATGTGCTGTGCTGTCAGAGGGCAAGGGAATGCTATGTTCAAGGAAATACTCTGAGCTATTCCAGAGCTGTAGCACCAGGGTCAAGTGAGGAACCGTCCCAATGTAAGGCAGCACAGTGGGGTGACGAAGGCGAATTACAACTCAAACTGGCAGCACATACCTCAACATGTGGCCTGAATTTCTCTGTGCAACCCAGTTACCTCACAAAGGGGTTGTTATTAGCTCCTCCTAAAGCTGAAGTCATCGTAGACAGAGTATATGGAAAAAACATTTTAACCAGGAAGCAATAAAAGCCTCTGCTGAAAATCCTTTAATGGACCATCCTTAGGTAACCAAGAGAGCTATCTGTGGAAAACCACTTTCAGATTCCAAAGATGCTGGAATAACTGATAATAGGCAGTAATTACATTTAATGCTTTAATACCCATAAACAGCAGTCAATAGCTTCATATTCTGAGCATTTTTACTGCCATCAATAACATACCTTGTCAAAAACAAAGGATGTTCAGAACCTCAGACTTCAATAAAGTAATTCAAACAAACTTGGGCTATTTGTATAGAGGTTATAAATAAAAAATCTTTAAATAGCACATTTCATAAGCACAGGACTAAGTGCTTGACAAAAGAAAGCAGGTCTCTTCATCTCCATTTTATTACTGGGGAAACTAAAATGTAAAGAAAGGAAATAGTTTGGCTAAGGACAGTTGATAGGCCAGGAAACGACTCCTGCAAAACCATTCGGGAAATGAGAGGAACAGCTGGAAGGGATGAAGTGAAAACACAGGCATGGTGAAAGCACAACACCCAGCACTACTATGAAGACGTCTCTGTCAGCCACACTGCAACACCTCATCTTGACAAAGTCAGGAAGGGCTTTGCATCGTAAGATTCACCACAATACACTTCTTTTCTCCCTCCAAACACAGCTCAAATCTTAGCTGAGGCCCCAGGCAGCATATCAGAGCTAATAGGGGCCAACCACACTGCTACACACAGCGGTGGAACAAAGCACAAATACAGTGGACTTCAGAACACGTCAAATTTGAGGAAGAGTTGCAAGGAAGGTCTTGTCTGCTTCATACTTTCATGTAATTTTCATTCCAATGAATTCGTAGTGAGCACTGTTTTGCAAACTAGAAAAGGAAAAGGAGAAAGATGGGAGATGCACTGAATTCAAAGAGCTGATGAGCACAGACCATTTTGAATACACAGTGCTTAAAATACGCAGTCATTGGAAGGTGTGGGAAAGTACAAAAATGCCATTACTGATACACAAACGCACCACACAAAGAGAGAAAGTAACTTCCACACAAAAAGGCTACTTCCTTTTCAGCTGACAGTTTTACAATGTTTCTATGGCCTATTCCCAAACCAAACCCTTGTTGGAAAGCAAATTAACCCATGTGTACTCAACTGGAGCTACTTTTCAGAAGGTAATGAGCCAACAACCCCAGGAGACAAATGCCACCAGCCCGGGTTGACCAGACGCAGCTTTGCACTCGAACTGTTTCCCTATGGCAGGATTATGGCAGGGAGGTGGTTGAGTCTCCATCCCTGGCTGTGTTAGAAACCGTTTGGATGTGGTGCTCAGGGACAGGATTTAGCTGAGGGTTGTTACAGTTGGGGTAGGATGGTTGGGTTGTGGATGGACTCGATGATCTTGAAGGTCTTTTCCAACCTGAGCGATCCTACGATTCTATGACTTTGGGTTCTCAGTGTCAGAAGCCTTAGCCATGTGTGCATGCACACTGGAAAATGGTGAGGAGAGCCACACAGAAGAGACAGCGTTGCATCATTTGCACTTTTTAAGGTCTGGAGAAAATATTCAGCTTCACCTCCCCTAAGCTGAGACACGAAGCAGTCTTATTTGCTTACATGATGATAAACTTCCCATCTCATTGCCCCGTGTTATTGCAGTGACGGTGACCCAAGTACAATCCTGCAACAGTTTCAGCTTTTATCAACATCTTCTCTTTAATTCAAATCAAATACTTTCAGTGGGGACACGGCCTCCAGGCAGAGGCTTTTGCAGAGCCCTGTGGGGCAGTCCAGCTGGCTTCTTTTGAGAATTACAGATAAGCAGAGCCCAGCAGCAGCTGAATGCCAGCAGAAACCAGTTCCTCCACTGCTCAAGGAAAACCCGAGCAGCAGAGCAAAGGACATTTGTGTTCCTCAGGTGACACAGACTCCTCATCATAGCCTGTAGCACATTTTGGAGAGCAACGAGACAAATCCCTGTGGTTAACCACAAGAGAGAGCAGTCCGGACAGAAGGCCAGTAATTAACTAAAACCAAGCACTGAGCACGGAACTGACAGAGAAGCAGACCAGAGCATAAAAACATAAATAGCGCTGTGCCCACTGGGCTACAGGATGCCTAACAAGCCGGGGATGAGACAGGGTTTGACTGAGTAAAGGACAGGGGATGCAATGCTGCTCTGGTTGAGCACTGCGGGACCCTTCAAAACATTTATCTGCACAATGCTACTGGAATCAGGTGCTGGTTGTGCCTGCAAAGGATACAGCCAAACACCAACCGCAAAGCGCAGCACTGCCTCTTGCAGGCAAAACGTTACACACGTTTCCTCTATTCCTGACATCATGAACCATATCATAAAACCCCTTTCTGCACTGAATGTAGAAGTAGTTTCCTAGTTTTACTTCTGTAAAAAGATTCCTAAAGTTCACTCCATCCCTAATGGTTGTCAGTTTTCCGCTGACTTATAATGCATCAAATAAGAAGCAGCGTTGTTTCTACCTCTTCAGTTTTTCCTTTTCATCTGCATGTCAATTTATGAAGACAGCATTTTCCTCTCAATGTATTAAAAAAACGCATTTGCCTGCAAAAGAACAGGCAGCAAATGCAGAAATGTTAGAATAGGAAAAACTATCAGACAATCCAACAGCAGTTGTAAAATAGGGATTTCTAATCACAAAGCACAAAGACACTGGAATGATTACACCTCTGTGCCATGAATACATCATTCTTTAATTCTCTGCATCAACTTACAATGATGTTAGGAGTGTAATATCATGTTTTAAACTTCTAGGCATACGTTAAGTAACAATGAAAGTTGAAGAGGCTTTATGTTGCTTACCTGCAGCAGCACTCTGGGCAGGACACCATAAGCAGCTGTACTTATTCACTATGTTGATGGCAAAAGCTAGGACATGCAATGCTGTGGCTATTTAAAGCTTCTCCTTGCTCACAGTGAAGCTCAGAAGTTCCTTACAGTCCTAATTCATCCAGGGACCAACTGTCTACTGGATGGGGGAAAAAAAATCCAACCAAACATATCTTTCAGTATCTTTACAGATTCCATGCAGCAGCCTCTCCTTCTCTTCACCTTATGGGACCGGCAGAGAGGGCAGGCAATGCAGCAGCAGAAGAGCAGAGCACAAAGGGGATGGATGGCATGTGGACTTGCAGAATGAGACAGGTAAGCTCCGACCTGGACGTGCAGGCTTAGTTGCTCTGACTCCTGCCATGCAGGTGGCATGCACACTGGCTTGTTTGAAGAGTCCAGCTGTGGTTCCCTACGGGTTACCCAGCTTTCCATAAAAATGGTTAAGCCCCAAAGAGGCCTGAAAGTACAGAAAGTAAATTGCATTACAAAAACACTGCATCAAAAGGGGGCAGAAGGGTCCCTCCTCAGCAAATGCTAATGAGTGGGCTCAGTGGTACCTACGCTTTCTCTAAACAAGTTCAGTGAGTAAAATAAACTAGCAGAGAAACAGTTCTCATCCACGTAGCCATAGATCTGCATGTTTGCAGAAAAAACACCTCCTTCCACAAATGACAGTTTAAAATCCTAGACATAAACTGCAGAAATGAAGAGGCTCATGGGAGAACTTGAGCAGCGAGTCACACTGAAGTTCACACACAAATGTGTCTGGTGAGAAGTACCCTTTCCCCCCACTGCACAAAGCTTTGCCCTGACTTGCTGTCAGCCTCCCTTCCACTTTAGTCGCCGTATCCAGAGGAATCCAAAGGATGCTCCTGCTATTAGTAAGTATACTTAAAGAAAACTAGGCTGCCCTCTTTATGCACAAATTATACCCTAGCACTGTTTCTAGTTAGGACTCGAACCTGCTACCAACACTCAGAATCTCTGAAGCATTCTTAGCAAAAGCTGGTGCTTTAGCCTAAGCAAGGGAAAGATAAATAAATCTCACATCCAGTAGCAGAACAAGACACGATGCCTTCGCTGGTATCAATGCATTAAGGAGCAAACAAATGCACTTGGTGCTCTTCGTATGGCAGGACCAGCCTTACTTTATACGAGTCAAAGCCTTCAACTCAGAGACCAAATACACCAGTAACTTTTCACATGAAAAAAGATGATAGTGCCTTGTTCCTTCAAATTAAAACAATATCTGCTAAGCCAGAGGTATTTTAAATAAGCTCCATATAATAAGCTCCATCATCCTACTTATTTTGAATACAAGCTCTAAGGTAAACTCACAAAGCCTGTCTGCACCAAGTATCTCACAGCAGCCAGATTTAACGGCAGCACATTGATTATTTCAGAATGAAAATGTTTCATTTAATCATTCTGTCTTCACTCTCCCAATATTTCTTTAATGCAACCTCATGAATTTTCAAGCTTATTTTGAAACACTAATTCTACAAAATTCTCTGCTGCTGCCAAACACTCAGCCCTGGTGCAGGCAGACAGGGCTGTACAGCTCACAGCTGCTGTACAGCCAGGGTTAGGAAGGCCCACAAACACACTGGATGAGCTCTTCTAAATACGTGTTCCTTCCACCTCCCAACACTTCACTTTCTCAGATGCCTGAATCAGTTCAATGCTCCTCAATGAAAGAGGACAGAAGCAGCTTTGGTGGTCCTGCAAAGGGCTTGGGTTCAGTGACAACAACAGCACTATCACTTATAACACTCATTTCAACTTCTACAACAGAGAAGGCACACAAAGTACCTGAAAATGCCAGCACTGTCAACTTTGCCAGACTAAGCAGCATGGTCAATGCCAACGCTGCAGCAGCCAAACGGGCCCTGGAACTCAGCCAAGGCTCTTCATTGCATTAAATCAGACATGTCCAACCTGCAGCCCATGTAATGCAGCGTGCCCTCTGACACTGTGCCATCGTGGCAGCAGCTCTTCCCAGCCCAGCTCACCCCCGGCGAGCAACCGAAACATCAGCCCTTCACTCACTGCAGCCCAGGCAAGCCATTAGTTTGGACACCAGTGTACTAAAATCAATCCTAGAGTGCAGGAGATGAGCTACAGCTGTGACAGTGAGCTCTGTGCAGCGCAGAGACTCAAGGCACGAAGCTGTATCTCTAACTGTGCCTTCCAAAGCAGAAGGCTCTCTGGATGAAACTAAAATGTTTCATCGTGCCTCTCTGTTGACTCAGTAGATCAGAAAAAGCTAAACTGACAGTACTTGCACAGGGTGCTGAGAGTTTCTGGAGGAGAAGAGCTGTGCTGTTATAGCTTCCACAGGTCACGGAGTCCAGCGACAAAATCTGGCACACTGAGATGAGCCACGGTAAAATATTCAGGTATGCATGTTGAAAATGACTGCACGGCATGTTGTTTAGAAACCCCAGGTCTTCTCAACCACAGGGATGATGACGTGCCTCAAAGATGTACTGTCCTTTACACATTGCATCCTTCCAGAGTTCGACAGGGTAAAGCACTCAGCTGAACGCACCCAGCTCCTGCCACTCAGTGGCTGCAAAACAACAAGATAATCAAGCAGTATCAAGTGATCCCTCTTAAAGATCTGCTCTTATGAAAAACAAAACAGACTGTGGGAGGCGTTGCATGTGCCTGCCCACCACCAGCTACATGAAGGGGAAGACCCTCAGAACCTGCAGGGAAACAAGAAGTGTTTCTGAGAACCTGGCCTCGGGACAGGGCTGTGCGAACACAGCGCAGTCAGTGGAAGTGCGAGTAACCCAGGCAGTCCTAGAAAGAAACAAAATCCTTAAGAGATTCTTATAGCAAGCGTAGTTTAGAAATGCATTTCAGAAAATAATAACTCAGATCATGGTTTATTGAGGACTGCAAGAAACAGGGTGCTTCATTTATTTCGAGCAAGAGGTCAAAGATGCCACATCTCCAAGAGATGGTTTTGAGTCATCTCTAAGCTCTTTTAATTAAGATTTAAAAATGAAATTCATCTAGCATTTCACAGACTTCAGATTTGGATTTGAATGCTTTATGCATTTTTTTTTCCCCCCCCCAAATGCTGGTTTGGATTTCAAATCATTTCTTTTGGAAAAAAAAAACCTGTTTGCTGCTTTCTCCTACTTGCTGGGAGCTCCCATAGCCAGCAGCAGTTCAGATATTACAAGCAACATATCAACCAAGACATTTGTGCAAGGCACAGGTAGCAGCTTTTGTAACCAAGAACACCATTTCTTTACTTCTAGCTGCTTGTCACTGTGTAAGGATTTACTTTATTGCATGTGGATTAAACAACAGGTTTAATGCCTCTCAGAAAAGAGATGGCATTTATTCTAACACGCACTTCAAAGATTGTTTCCCTAAAACGTACGATGTAGGCATGATATTAATCATCTGTATTACATGCATTGCACACACATTTAGTTTTAATTAGGAAGCATCTCATTTCTCGCAGTCTTTTTTCACAGTAGACAACTGCAAGTATCTGGAGTGAAGGCAGCAGCATACAAACTGTTTAATATCACTGTTGCTAATGCAAATTTTTCACACACAATCCTACTCCAGCTGAGCAGTTCAGCTGCAAGTGCAGAAAATGCATTTCAGATACACACACCAAGTAATGTGTGTTCTTAATATCTGCTCCATTTTGGTTCCAGCTGAAAACCACCTTTACGCCCCACGAGTTTAAGGAGAAGTTATCCAAGAAGAACACAACACCTTTCATCTTCATCCCCACCCCTTTGGATAGACACTGAGATACTGAGATCCAGCCTTCAGTTGTAAACAGACAAACAAAAATCTCTTTCCTCATTTTCACATCTCTGAAATAACAGTAAATAAGAGGATTTTAATAAATTGTTTAGACACTGGCAAGATACAAAACTGCAGGGGAGGGAGGAGCAAGGCTTACATGATGCATGCTCATCACTCCCATCCTCTTCTTCTTGTTACTGGATTTGAACTGCCCACTTTCCTACAGAAGGGCACCAGGGCATCTCTCAGTAAGCCAACAACTAATGCAAATGACTTCACGTCATATTTCAAGATAGCAAGACTATCGAGCATGTGCTACTCACCTGAAAGAGGCAGTCAAAGACTAACTTCTTTATTTTCATGTGAAATACGGTCTACAGACATGTTCAGAAAAAAATATGGAGCTGCTGTCAGGTTACGTTAGACCACTTTCTTACTTAAAACAAAAACACAGCTTGCTGGTGAAGAGGAAAAGATAAAGGTTTTATTAAATCATACTTAAAGGACGCTGTCAAGACATTTAAGAATAAAATCACAGAACCACAGAATCCTTAGATTAGGAAGGGACCTCTGAAGGCCATCATCCCCCCAGCTTGTATTGGTAATGAGGGTCACCTCAACCCAGGTGCAAATCTTACATTAGGATTTGTTGAACCTCATGAGGTTCATCTGGGCCCACTGCTGAAGCCTGTCTCGCCCCTCTGACGGCTTCCCTTCCCTCCCTGTGCTGTACTGAACACGCCCCACAGCTTGGTGTCATCAGCAAACTTGCTGAGGGTGCCCTCAGCCCCACAGTTGATGTCACTGATGAAGACATTAAAGAGCATCAGCCCCAGCACCGATCCTTGGGAGACATCACTGATCTCCATCCGGACACTGACTGCCACCCTCTGGACTCAACCCTGCAGCCAGTTCTTCATTCATTGAAGATTCTGCCCATCAAACCCACATCTCCCCAATTTGGAGAGAAGGGTTTTGTGGGGTACCGTGTCAAAGGCCTCAATGAAGTCGAGTTAGATGACACGAGTGGCTCTTCCCTTGTCCACTGATGCAGTGATATAGTGATATCACAGTCAGAATTTCACAACATAAAAAGGAAGCACATCTATTAGTTGTAACAGCAACTGCTCCATGTTGAAGCAACAGAAACCAGTTTCCTCTGCTCTTATTAGAGAAATCTGATGAGAAGTGCCAAGTGAAGAAACAAGCCTGTTCCATGCATCCTGCTGCGCGCTAATGCCTTACTGCTTCAGTGTTTCTCCCTTCATTTGGTGGCTGGCAGGAAGACACCTCTTAAATAGAACAAAAACAATCCTGCTATCTTCAAGTGCATGACACTCCATCCAGAGATCTATTAGCAACAGTGAAGGCGTTGGTAATGGATGAGCAGCAGACAATGCAGCTTCAAGCGTGTGGCACAGAACAAAGCTGTGTGCCAGCAGGAGATGACAGTGCTCAGATGATTTCTTGCTATTACCACTTTCAGCAGACAATTTTTCTCCTTCCCTCTTTTTACCACAATAAACCTTGTAATGATAGCTACGGAAATGCTACAAAAACGACAGACTCAACAGATTAATTTTACGTTCGCATATTTTTGCAGAATAGTTTATCACAACTTCAAGTTTCCTCCACACTAAATTGATACAGTGCTGGAAACTCTGATAAGCACAGAGAGCAGGAACTCAAGGTGTCACAACAGAAACGCACCCAAGCTCCTGCACTGCCAACCAATCCGAAATTCTTGGTGAACTCATGGATAGCAATATCAATATCAATAGAAAATGTCTGGAAATATTTTTGGGGTGCTGGTGAGGTGTGCCTCTCCTTTCCCTTCAGCTAAGAAAACAGCTTACAAATATCAACCCACTGATGCTGTTAGTGTTATCTTTAAGTGAGCAATGCTCAGGCATTATGTAGCAATGACTTTTAACAGAGCACTGGGAGACTATTGGTATAGCCTCAGCCTTTCTTGAAGGGAGAAAAATGATGAAGCCTGTGATGCCTTGTTTCTTCACAAAGACTTTTTGCTGTTTATTTGTGAAAGCTTTTTTTAAAAGAAGCAGTGGCGTCCTTTCACAGAAAGAAGTCACCAACTCCAAAGCTGGAGAAACTGTAAAAATATACATTAGCTTGAGCCTGCAATGTGCAGGAAGCAATGCTCTGTCAGGCTCTGAAAGGAACAGCCAACAAAGAACCATCCAACAATCACTGCTGCTGTCTCCTCTTCAGATCTCAGTTGTGGTTCCACCTGGACAACACTTAATTGGCACTGACCAGGTGATAAAAGATTGAAAGAGGTGATAAAGGTGCCTTCGAGGGCTCTGTGCTCCCTGCTGTTATAACTCACCTGCACAGCATGCCCATAAGGAGAAGGAAAAATGTGCAGCTACACAAGCAGGTTCCATTTTGTTACCTTCTGTTTCTTTGCCCTGCTAACTGCACCTGTGCTCCTCCTCCTTCAGGAATCTCCTCTCCTACTCCAAACACAAGGGATTCTTCCACGTTCATTTGCATAAGCGTGACAGTTTTGTGCAGACTTGTTTCACTTCTAAATATTACAACGTTACAATTATAATGAAGCCATGATTATTATGAAACCATTTGAACAACACGTTGGGTACATTTGTGCATACGCATCGTGTTAAAACAAAACAAGAGACTAGAATCAAAGGAAAACAAAGTACTGTACAGATGGCAAAAAAAATCTACAGCTGAAAGGTTGCTGAATGCACAATTACTCAAAGCAGCTTCTACTTTGTTTGTTTGCTTTTTTTCTTTTTTCTTTTTTTTTTCCCTCTTCTTACACTATAATTTCAGGGCTAGTTTCAATGTTATCCTAAAACCTCCTAATTCATTCCTCCCCCAGTGATCTCCACTTCACTCTCTTTTTGCTAGGTTTAAAATAGCATTTTATTTTTTTTTCAGTTATGCAATGACTTGCAGAGATGCCTGAATTGCTTTTATCTAGTTTAAACCCCACACATGCTGCTTACTGCAATATTTGCTCCCTCTAAGTACCTATGAAGTTGAAAAGGAGACATTACACAAACTTCATCAGGACCATGGATCTGATTTGTGTAATTAAAGATGAATATCACAATCCAAACTTACTACGGAGACAAAAACAGTAAGATATTTTGTGCATGTACTGGGGTGTATTTCATCATAAAAACACAGAACCAATGTCATAGAAGAGCTTTCTCCCTCCAGTGAAGATTCTAAAGACTATAGAAAAGTGTTTTCTTGCACTTCTGCCAAACGAATTTCAATATCTTTTGGTTTTCACTCTATTTTAGACTGCCTGTAGTCCTACAATGCTGTATATCCCCAAATCAGCTGTGCTTCAGTACTTGTTGGGTACTCCAGTGCATCATCCTAAACTTCTTTTTGGATAACACGTACTTCTCTGAAGAAAAAAGAGCCAACTCAAGCCAGTAACTCAAGTGTTCAATATTCAGTGATAAACATCTGCTTGCTCTTCCCCAGAAAAAACATTCAAACTCGCAGAAAAGAACTCCCATGCAGTTTTCTTCCTTCTGATGACGTTGTGCTCTACAGATCAATGGTGTTTACACCACCCCATGCCTTCTCCCCACTTCTCACATCCCTCAAAAATATACAATGAAATTTAGCCCCAAGAAATGGTCAGAAACAAACATTTCCTAACAGAAATAATGAGTAATGATTTGGTTAAACAGAAAAGACTGCTTAAGAAGAATTTAGGGACACACTGTGATGGATGATCATTAACAGTTGATGCCATTCCAGCACTACTTTGGGTCTCTGGGGAAGAACAGCATGTGAATGCTTTGCAAGGGCTCAGTTGTTTGCTAGCTGTAGGTGAAAAACTCATTTGAGAGGTGGGGCCCAGACATGTAAGATGAGAAAAGAACACTGCAGAAATTGAATGGCATAGGTGAATGTTGGGGGCTGGGGAAAGGATCTGAGTTTACCTACAGAATACAACATAACTGGGGGAGGAGCAGAAACCAGCCAGTCACTGAGACAAGAGTTCTACTACCTGCAATTTTAGCCACACCTTCAGATATTACCTCGGATAAACTTTGGCTAATAATAGAAGGTACCAGAGCTGGCCTGTTTAGCTCTCTGCTACACTGCAGCATAACAGAAATGGGGAAAGAACAGACTCTGAACTAGAAGTCCTGATGTGAGAGAACTGAGATACGCTGATAGATCAAAAGATTCAAATTAACCACTAAAAAGCAGAGATTTTTAGACTAGCCACATTTATTCTATGAAGCTACTGGAAAATTTCATTATAAAATCAAATAGCACACCATACCTGAGTCAGAACATCCAGCTGTCCTATAATATGCTCCAAGGTATCTGCAATATGGACATCCTCCTCTGGCCGCTCATGGTTCCTACCAGCATCCTGAGATTTTGTTTTCTTAAGATGAACACCACAATCCATTTCTGATGGCTAAAAAAATAAACAGATAGAGTCTGCTACTGCAACAGAAACAACTGGAAAAGATTTTCAGTTTTATGGAAGGTAAACACTGAAGGACAATTTATGATGGGAAGCAGTCTGAGAGGGCAAGAGAAATTCAAGTGTTTGTTCTTTGTTCTTGCCATGGCTGAAGAAAGAAAAGCTGCTGCAAACTCATCTGTCTTCACAGTCTGGAGTGGCATGATTTTTGTTGGCAGTATGTGGTGCATTTTCTTTCTAAAGCCTGCATTAGGAAAGGCAAAGCTTAGATAACAATACTGAAGCAATCCTGAAAGGCTCAAGTTCTGTACGATCAAAGAGCTTTGCGTACAGCCACAGACTGTGCTGGTAAATGGATATTCAATGGAGCCACACAGTGCTATCTCTAAACTGTAGAATTAAATAAGCTACCTGACAGGAGTCAAATTATTCAATGCAAACAGTGTAAGGAAGAAAAGGTTTAGTGCCTTGTGCAGCAAAAGGTTCCCTCCACAGTCTGTTAGTTGTAAGAAAGCAATGATGTAGAACTGAAGCTCAGCTAAAGCAAAATGATCCAACATGCATTACAGACACAGCTTTGACTTAACCCTGATAATTTATCTTTTTTTAACTTGAACCAGTTTTCCCTCCCCAGTGAGATTAACTGTACAAGATTACTTTGAAATTTCAATTTCAATTGTTTTAGTTATGCAAGTCTGAATATTCCATTCAGAAGAAATTTTTAAAAACATATACAGATCTTTACTAAGGAGCTTTTTCTTTTCAAAATCCCTTCTAGAACAAATGCTATTTGTGTTAATTGTCTGCATTATCACCAGCAGAAGTTTAGAGTTCATCTAACTGAACAATTTAGCCAACCAACACACTAGTCTGCAGTTGCAGACAACTTCCTTACCTTACACTGACAGCCATTACTTGGTATAAACCTGAGAACTCAGAGCTTAAAACGTGGCTCTCCACGGCCCGATGCCTGGTGCATTTCTATCCCATGGATGGGACTTACTGCTCATGTGAATGGCAGAAGTTTGGAAAACTGACCAAAAAGAAAGGGATTCAGATAGACTGAAAAAGAGTCTCTATGTAGCTTCCATTTCTACACTCACACACATTGCTGTGAAGGCATTTTTAATGCTGCACTTAATCATTCACCTCTCTGCATTTAATGCAAAGAGACCATTTAGAACATTTCTTGTAACTTTCAAACCAGAAATGTTTAGCATAGCAAGATTTCTTTTCAGATAAAAACATAAAGAGAGTCTACAGACACTCAGCTCGCTGTCTTTTCAATCAAGGCTGGTTGGAAATGCACGTCCAGGCAGAACATGTTCCCCGGGACAGGACACACAAAGCCCAACCATCATCGCCACGTGCAGTGAAAGGCCACCAACACTGCTTGTGCACAGCTGGGTGGCACTGTCAGAAAGGCTCCTGTGGCTGCTATCCAGCCCCCCAGTTAAGCAAAGTAAGCAACAAACAGTGTGATGAAGAAGACACTGGACTACAAGAAGAGAGAGGCAATAGGCTTTGGCAGAACTCCTGCTGCTGTCCACTACCTGCTTTTAAGAGCTGCACTCCACTGCAACCAAGTCAAAGACTATCCAGAGTCCTTGGCCAGCACGGGTCACACTGCAAAGCCCAGTCACAGGTTTGTGCTGCAGGTAGCCCAAGAGCCACGTGTTGTTCACTGATGCACTAATTTAATCAACTAAAAACATGATCTCGTACAGACACCACTCTGATCGCTGCTCACAAAGAGCCAGGCAGAGAAACTGAGATCAGCTCGCTCCAACCTCTTACTCATCCCACCTGCTTGGATGGAATGAAGATACACTCTGAAATCTGGGACCTCTCTGAGGAGGCCTCTCCAAGAGCGCTGCATAAGGTACACAACAAAGGTTAAGAATCTGCCCAACACAGGCAAAAGATAATCTCACTAAAAATGCCTGCAAACACTCATCTCGTCACACCTGAAAACATTCAGCAATAAATGCAGCCCACAGCATACACAGAAGAATCATAGAACAGAATCATAGAATCCTTAGAGTTGGAAGGGACCTCTGAAGGCCATCTAGTCCAATGCCCTGCAACAAACAGGGACGTGCACAGCTAGGTCAGGTTGCCCACGGCCTGATCCAGCCCCACTTTGAAAGTCTTCAGGGATGGGGCATCAACCACGTCGCTGGGCAACTTGTGCCAGCACCTCACCACCCTCACTGCAGAAGACTTTTCGCTTATATCCAACCTAAATCTACCAACTTTGAGCTTGAAGACATTTCCCCTTGTTCTCTCACCACAGACCCTGCTGAAGAGTTTGTCCCCTTCTTTCCTGTTGCTCCCCTTCAGATACTGACAAGCCACTATCAGGTCACCTCTCAGCCTTCTCTTGTCATGTTGCACAGCACCAGCTCAGCCTGTCCTTGTATTCCATTGTGTTCCATTCCATGGATCATTTCCGTGGCCCTTCTCTGGACACACTCCAACAGGCCCACATCTCTCCACGTCTCCACAGGACTCCTCATCTGGATGCTGTACTTCAGGTGAGGCCTCAAAGCACAGAGCAGAGGGGCAGGATCAGTTCCCTGCCCTGCTGGCCACACTTCTTTTGATACAGCCCAGGATACAGTAGGCTTTCTGGGTTGCAAGAGCACAGTGCTGGCTCACGTCCACCTTCCCATCCACCATCCACATACAATCACAGAATGGCCCGGGTTGGAACAGACCTCAAGGATCACGAAGCTCCAACCCCCCTGCTGCAGGCAGGACCACCAACCTCCATATCTAATGCTAGACCAGGCTGCCCAGGGCCCCATCCAACCTGGCCTTGAACACCTCCAAGGACGGGGCATCCACAAATCCACCAGCACACAGGTGAGACTGACAGGTAGGTAGTTCCCAGGCTCATCTTTTTATAACCTTTGTTAAAAATGGTTGTGATGGTGTTTTGTTTTTTTTTTTTTTTTTTTAAACACTCAGCAGGAACTTCACCTGAAATGCTTCAGAATTTCCAACATTACTGAAAGTGGTTTAGTGACTACAACACCAATTCCCTCAGGCCTCTGGATGCATCTCACTGAGACCCACAGATTTGTGGGTGTCTATGGGACAATGGTAAAGGATGGGCTTACCACCAGCTCAACAAAGGTGGCCTGCTTCCTCTCAAAGTCACAGCACTTTCCTTTTTTTTTGTCTTAAACCAGAGCATGTGCATCCCATTTGGATCAGCTTCAGACTTCCCACGCCAAAACATACTCTTTCTTTTAAGTGAATGAAAGCTTCTCCTGCGTTAAGAAAGCACAAACAGGACATCATGGAGCAGATGCCACGGTGCTTATGCACAAAAACTGAGCGGACCTTGAAAATTCAGTCTGACATACATTTTAGAAAGTTTCCAAATATTTAAATGAGATAAAACTCTTCTCTTTCCATTCTTTCATGGAAAGAGACTGCAATGCTCAGCGTGACAGGTTACCTTCCACAAGCAGCCTACCTCCACTCCTGTCACAGGTCAAATACAGAAGTGGCACTAGTTGGAGCTACTGGGTTAAGGCAACAACGCCACATCTCTATCACACTGTCCAACGAGCCTCCAAATTTGGCAGTGGTGAACATTACTGTGACGCTGTTCAGGGAAAGCCCTGCCCCTGTATTTTAACAAGAACAATAACAGCAAATACATGCATGTAGCAATTGGACAGATCGATACAATGGGAAAGGCATTACAACAGAGGGGTGTTGACAGGAGGACCAAAACAACAGAAAGGTGCTATGAAGGAAGGGAAGAAGACTGCTCACCTGGATCAGAAAATCCAGGTTTACAGGGGAAAGCTTCACCAAGGAGGGATCTCCAACCAGAGACCCTTCCCCACCAGCAGTCAGCCCTTCAATGAGGTCTAAGAGAGGTGCAGCCAGGCTCCACTCCTTCCTGTCTCACAGCTCAATTGCCTTCACCTGTGCTCCCAGGGCTGACGGTCCTTTCCTCAGGTGCTCAACCAGTAGTTCAGGCCAGGACTCAACAGTTCCCATACAATGCATATATATATATATTTCCCATTTGGTAAAAGAACATTACATCAGCCCCACTGTTGTTCATAAAAATGGTGAAAGAAACCCCCTCAAAGACCAGACTACGACTATCCTAATCTTAATAGAAATCTAGACGCTGTGGTGAACCAGACACTACTGATTTCAATTCAAACAGATATCTAGAAAGTTGCAAAGAAATACAGAAAGAGCCCTGGAATGGGAGCAAACTTATATGACTGTCTGTGCTGCGAAACATTGTGGCTGCACAGAAACCTGAGGTCCCATCTGACTCAGCCGGTGCAGTGCCAGCTGCATTCCACAGGCAGGCACCACAAGCAGCGACTGCTGTTGAGGTTTCATCTGTCTTAGTTTGAGTTCAAGTACACAGTAAATGAACAAATGTATTTGCCATTAAATACCTTATCACAACATCCACTTACTAAGCTCTGTGGGTACAGCAAGAAGCAGTTTAACATTACAAGAACAATGGATAAATAGTTTCAGCATATGATACAGCTCTTAGTGATGAGGCAGAAACTGAAGTGATTTACCCATGGCAACTTCTTAGCACAGTGCAGCTACTTGCTAGAAAGAGAAAATTCATTAGCCTTCATTCCAGAGCTCCCTTACTTAACCTTTCATGAAATCTATAACGTTGTAACCAATTATTGTAATGCTGATGAGGAAGTTGAGGCAAGGGTTAACTACAGAATAGATTGCATCAGTAATGAAATTGCAGTGGATGACGCAAAAAAATGCTGCTTTTCTCTCTACGTAGTGATATTTAGAAAACACACTGACAAGGTAAGCACCTACCTGTTTGATTGCACATCTACATCAGAAGATAGGATTCTCATCAATAAACCCTGTGGAAACATCTGTGTGTTTTGGTGTTTTTTTTTTTCCCCTCTTCTCTTTGCTCCTGTCCACCAGAAAAGAATAGGGGAGTTCAGCTTTACCTCCATCCTTTAAATCCCATTCACAAAATAGTAACAAGGGCAGTCCTGTCAAAAGCACCTAAGCTGTGCGTTGTCCACAGATTCCAGGAGGTCTGTGAGCACAGCTACATCATTCCATCACCTTGTTCTATGTGCCACCTGAGATCAGGGTCCTGTTTCCCACATTCTGTATTCCTCACTTTACATATGCCACTGTAGGAACAGAAACACAGACAAGAGAATCATAGGGAATGATTTCCACCAGAAATTGAGCTACTGCTCTCCGACTGCATTTGAGGCTGCTCTTGGGAAAAGTTCCCAACAAAAACTGCTCAACACTGAAGCAAAATGTCTATCCATCAACTTAGATTCTCCTGCTACAGATTCTTCCACATCAAAAGCAACAGATTCCAAGGCAAAATGCAAACCATACTGAGTGTGAACATGAAGTATGAACAACTTCCAGCTTGTGCTCTTCTTATGCATCATTTATCTCCTTCTAATGAAGTACATGTGTGTATGTTGCACAAATATTGCCATGCCTACGTAGGTTATATACCTATGACTGTTATGCACACACGTAAACATAGCTTCCCCCTACTAGACAGGCAGAAATGCCTATTTGCTATTTCACTCAGTGGAAGTTTGGATTTCAGCAGAAGAGTTTGAGGTCTTATGAAAAAAATCATGGAGAAAAAAAAAAAAAAAGAAAGAGCTTGAGGCATCTTCACCCATCTCCTAAACCTGGCACAGAATGGCAGATTGGAGTCAAGATTTATATATTACTCCATCTCTTCACTTTGAATTATAACCCAAGCATTACAACAAGTCACGTACAGTAGCAACTTCAGTGGGTGAATTCATCTTAATCAACCTGAGATGGAGCTGAACTAGAAAGGCAATTTTTATTCCGACCTCTAATGAGGGGGTCAACCTTGAGGTCTGATTGTTCCAAACTCTTGAAGAACAATTCTATTCGCTGTAAGAGAACAAAAATCAGAATCTTACTTCCATGAAAAATCTTGTCAAAGTAGAACACTAAGGAAACAGCTGGAGCAGCACAGCTGCCCCCAGCCGCCACTGGGAAAACTGCTGCAGGTTGTTGCAGCCATTCAAATCCTCTGGGAAGACCAGGCTGGGAGAATACAGGGAACTTGTACTCAACCTCTTCTTCTCACCCAAGTCCTTCTTCAAGACAAGATGGAAAAAATCTGACAAACTGTCTAAAGTAGCACGTAAAAAAATGTTAAAGCTCAGAAACAGAGAAGACATGGGCTTTTGTGCATTTACCCTGCACACTGCTTCCTATTTTCACAGGCCAGATCAATGGAAAAGCAAACTCAAGAATTTCAGGGGAAAGAGGAACATAGAGGCAAAACTCACTAGCCTGAGAAAAATATAGTTTCATATGGCAAAAGCAACAACAAGCCAAAACAGAACATTACAGGGCTATCAATGAACAGAGGCTTGTAGGAATAACTTCTGTGAAGAAGTGCTGCCATTATCTGCTCATGAAGTTGGCAATAATGGAGAACAGTGAAAATACTTGTTTTGCTATGCTGCAAATTCAGTCAAATTAAGATGCAAAAAATGAGACAAGGGCACAGGAAACCAATGCAGCTCTGCTTGGGTAAATCCAGGCCTCCTGCTATGGATAAACCTGGAATTGCTATCTAGCATTACCCTCTGACCAGTTAAGAGTTGAACTCCAGAGCTCATCTGAATCCAAGTTTTTCAACAATGAAACTGAGGGGTTATGTGGTGAATGTTCCTCCCAATAGATTTCCTTTCTATATTCCTGTTCCTACGGCAGCTCATTTCCACACATAACCATACTTTGGTACTGAGAATTTGGTGACGTTATTCTCCAAGAGCATTAAGACAGCCTGCTGAACACCTTCCACACTTAATTATTCCATCCTAAATTAAGGAAAGTCCCTTCGTACCTGCCAGAAGAACTGGGGCAAATACAGCCTCTTCAGGCACAGACCACAGCAGAGAATCCTTTTGTCCACATCAGAAAGAACAGCTTGAAAAAATAAGCAGCCTTTTCCTTTGTTCCTGCTGAACCTCTGTCTCCTTGCAAAAATGCGAGGTCAAAGGTTACAACAGCCTTATGAGAGTGGAATCCCTTCAGCAAAAAGGAGAGTGGAAAACCAGACAGCTATGAGTAATCATCAGCAACTGCACCCCTTGCAAATGATGTAGGGATGATCACAGAATCATAGGATGGCCTGGATTGAAAAGGACCTGTAAGATCATCTAGTTTCAACCCCCTTGGAGATGCCTTTAACGTCCCCCAATCAGCTGTAGTAAGACAGCCCTTTCTTAGCAGGTCTGCTTGGACAGCACAGAAAGCAGAAGCAGCTTATCATTTCATCACTGTTGCTCATGTAAGTAAAAAAAATCTACCTACCTATTCCAAGAGGAAGGTAACAACATGCCAGGATGAAGCTTCCCAGAGTGGGGAAAAAATCCTCAGAGAAATAAGGTGAGAAGCAAATTGGAAAACAAAACAGCAACAACAGAAAAACCCACAACAACTTGCAGGCCACATTTAACCTGAAGGATAACCCTGTTGAAGACATTACTAAGAATTGAGAGAGAAATTCTAAGGCAATAAGTAGACCGAGGTGAAGGAGATGCAAACAGAAATACATATCTACATTCAGCTGAAGAGAGCTCCAGCTGTGCCTTTCTAGGAGAGAATTTCACAGCGATTAAAAAACGTACACACTTACTTGTAAGTATTAATGGATGCCAAAACTGGAGTTAGTTTGGAATCCACTAGGTTAAAAAAAGAAAAAGCACATCTGGCCTCTGAGTAATTCAGGAGGAATTTATTTACACAAAGACTGAAGTGCTGCAGTCAGCATGGAGACCAAGGTCAACACTGCAGAAGGAAGGTGGAGCTGGGTTTGGAAGTTCAGCCTATGGGCTTCAGAGAGAGAGCCCTGACCAGCCCAAATCACCGCTCACATCCATTTTCCCTTGAAACAATTTATGACTTACCACCACTGTCACAGCTCCAGCTTTTGTACCAATTGCTTGTCAAACAAAAAAATGAATTGCAGCTGATGATCATTCAGGCTCTTGTTTGTTCAGAAGGGCTTCTTAGTCAAAATGCAGGAGAATCATGCAGAGATGAGAGTTTGTACAAAGCCTCATGGACTACACAAGGAATTAAGTTTCCAATCTGTTTTGCAAAAATAGATACTGAAGAAACAAACAATCCAATACCTTCTGGAGAAAGTTGTATACTTAGAGTGTAAAAAGAGGCCTAAATGTCTATCATCTTAACAAAAGGCCCATCGGAGGAGTCATGAGCTGTTTACCTTTTCATCAAAAGCCCTTTCCACGGAAGCCCTGCTCTTCCTGATCCTCACCAAATCTGCTATGTCAATAGCTTTCAATTGGGTGGCTCTGAAATTGACCACCATTTGCCTTCAACAGAGCTAACTACACTTAAAATATATGTGCACTTAAACTTTAAAAACAAATAACAACATCATGAAGATCTCCTGGCAGAAGAGTGACAGAGGACAACTTTACATCTCTACCCACGTGAGCTCAGCCTCCCAAAACTCTACTCACATGGGCAGATCTCAGCACATCGGGAGCTGAAAACTAACCTGTGTCTTCTGAGAGATGGTAATTAAATACTTGCTGCCTTTATCATTTGAACTTATCCTAGAGCTTACCTCCAAACCAAGAAGCCCGCTGGTCTCAGGAAAACTAGCACTGTATCCATGTGAAACACTCACTTCAGTTATATGGCTGCAGGATTCGCAGCTGAGGCGGCAAGAAAAACACCTCCAGATCCCCACCTTATGTTTTCTGCCCTGCTGTGCCAGTTACCTCTCCCACCAGGATACCCTGAGACAAACAAGCAAAGCACTCGAAACTCACAGACTTTTCACTGCCTTTTGAACATGAGAAGCCACTTTTCCCTCTATTAAAGCTTGCAATTCAAGTATTTTTCCTTAGAAAGTTTGATGCAACAGCAAAAAGAATCAGAGGATTAGATGGAAAGTCTCCTCATCATCCCTGCTTTGCCTAGAGAAGTACTTGGCACAACAAGTTGTAAGGTGCCAAAAGAATGTCTATAACTACATTGAAGATTGAGTAAAGAATCCCTCCATCAATGAGTATTCCCTATTTTCCATAACTTTACATTAAAATATTTACCAATTTGGCTCATTCAATATTTTTCTTATCATTCATCATCTTCAAGTACGAATGTAGAGAAACACCCAAGCACCTTCCAACTGTCCACGTGATATGAACTGCTTAGCATTTGTTCATTACACTTCACCACACACTGCTTTCTTGGAATTTGCCAGGCAATAGCAGCAAATCCATCCCACAAAGAAACAAGAGTCACTGTACACTGTACACTCACGTCAGCAAATACAAATACAAACACACATACAAAGCTTTCCTTATATCTGAAAAAACAAACAACAAAAAACACCCACATCAACCCCCAGAGTAAAACATTATTATCTACCTTCTCTGAAAAATAACCAATTGTGGATTAAGTAAATATTTTCAGTAACATACCAGCTCTGAGAACATGTCCTTTGATCCTATCCAGCGCAGCTCTTCATACAGACCAACCCTTTTGCTCCTATTCTGATCCCACAGCAACTGTAGGAGCCCATAATATGAAACAACAGGCAAAGATCTATGACTATTATCACTTTCCTGCAGGTCTTCACTGCTCAATATTCCAGCTTAGGACATAATTTTACTTGTACCCATTACATTCTAGATCAAAGCCACAAACCAGATCAAGATACAGGACTGTAAGACGTTTCTTCCCCTGAGTTCACACAGCACTCACTGTGTTTGCCCTTCACTGACGTTTCCAGGGCAATTAGGGAACACTTCATTGCAGCAGTTACTGGTTTATAAATGGTAAGTAAGCATTTCAGTTTCCATAACTCTGATCTAGCACCTAGAACCTCTCACACCTACAATAACATATATTTACAATTTATATCAGCCAGTTTTAGCATTCTTTCTGATCACATTTTTGTGGTTTATGCTTTTACACCACAGTCATGACTGTAATTCCTACTCATCACAGCCTTCTTTCATTTACAATCATTCTTGCACAGAGAAGTTCTGCTTCCAAAGCAAGCTGCATCACCAAAGCCTCATATATTTACAGAAAACACCAGCAGGTGGGCAGAGCAACTTTGAAGTTCACACCTATCTCTGCAAACAAGCTCCATGCCCTGATTGACAGTGAACTTTAACCACTTGCCTTAGAAATTAGCATCTTCTGCAGGCTTCAGTCTCCATCTACCTACTGAAATGAAAACTGTTCCTGAACAAGTTTGTTTTCAAGCTCACCACCCCAACAGGGCTTTTCATGCCTCTTTTACAACACAGGTTAAGATTCTTTTCTTCTTCCTACTCATCTCAATGACCGACTCGCTTTGAAGGCTGCATTCACTTATTCCCTAGCACTTGTATGTTAGACTGACTCTTCCATGAGAAGCTGGATACAAAACATTGTTTTTACACATCCACTGTTTTGATAAGCAGCCATGCTTTCAGTCCTTAAGAAAAAAAAGTTACAGAGCTGTACAACACAGCACAAGCTTTGAAAAATATTCTTTCATTTAAGTAAAAGGTAAACAGATTTACATGTGTCAAGGATAATGCTAGCTCACTGACAATAAATTACAATCTACATGCCCCTAGCACATAATTATAGTATAAAAAACATCTGCACCATTTCTCTTATTCCAGAAGAATCTTGGTACTACACAGCAGTAGAGAAGAATGAAACAGGTCCTCTTTCCATAGAAGGACATCAAGAGGAGATGAAAAAGCACACACTGCTGCTTTCAGTTATTTTGTTGAGAGAGAAATGGGAGAAATAATAATACTGACGTCTGCTATTCAAAATTAAAAATAAAAAGCAGTGCCTTGCTCAGAACAGGAAGCTTTTCTGAAAACGAGCAGCAGAGGTCAAGTCTTGCAGTAAGCTGCAGCAGCACTCTTCAAAACCAGCCTAACAACACATTTCACTTGAAAGAAAAGAAATTGGGCTGTGGACAGTTGATTAAGAAGTCAGAATTACCACGTTCAGGTTCCACTTACGTTCCTTAATAAACCAAGATATTTTCAGAGACATTCATTTCTTTTTAATAGCTAAGAACATTTCGTACCAATTTTAAACTTAACCTGCGGTATTCAAAACAAAGGCTCTCAGAGAACATTATTTTTCTTATTATTTTAGCAATCACAACTGTCTTAATGTTCAGACACTGCATTCTTACCAACCGTAAGAGCACAGGGACCAGTCACGTCTTGCATTTCTACTCTCATGAAACACAGTGAACCATCTGCAGAGACCTGGTGCAGACTCTACTTCTGCTCTGCCTGTTCTGCTAACAGGCAGCCACTATTCGGGTGATACTCACCAAAAACTTCACTATCTTGGCTTTGGTCTCACAGATCACAATATGACACGAAACAAGAGCAGGAACTTCCCTCCTCTACAGCAGGACAAAGATGCATCACACTTCCCAGGCAACCATGAAGTGAGAGGCAGTAACAACCGCACAGAATTGAACTGACAGACAACTGGCTACAGTCATGTCAGCTATCACCAAAGCTCTCCACTGCTACTTCCTCCATCCTGCTTCTTAGCCAAGGACAGTTTTACTGTCAAAGGTTTAACTCACATCAAGTTTCTCTTGATGCTCACAGCTGATCTGGGAGATCTACCGGATCCTTTGTGCTGTTCACACCAAAAGGTAACACTGGTTACCTCAAGCCAAAGTGTTCCTCCATGTGGCCAAGGAATAAATAGGAGGTAAGAATACCACTGACTATTACGTGTTATACCCATAACACAACCACTTTCCCTTGCTTTTTATATTCCAGTGAAAAAAAGCTGGATTGGAAAGATTACAGATACTGCCACAGAGTTAAAGGTATCAGGTAGAAGTTTACCTTTCAGTTAAGACACATCATGCATGCATACCAACACTCACACATCCACTGTTTGAACCATATGCAACAAAATAGTCACGGTAACAACATGTTCTGAAATACTGCAGTTATACTTCAACACATCAAGGAAGCATCCAAAGATTCGTAAGAGAACACGAAAATCCAAGTGAAACATCACTCACACCAGCAATAACTTTAAAGGGTTACTCTTGTAAGATCCAAGACATCTAACATAAACACTACACTGAGATCACTGCATCACACAGCATTATTCAGCTAATGGATTCATGCATTAGATACAGTCAGAACTAAGATGTCTCCAAATATTTAGAAACAAAGCTCTAGTACAATGTCACCCTTTTCTCACCTGCATTAAGTCTCTGCAGAGATTTCTTCTGTCTTTGATAGTTGTCAATGAGAAGACTTAATGAACATCTATTTTCAGAACTAATGGCATCCCTCAAGGATTTCTACCATCTAGTAAAACTGCTTTCAGCTGTTACTCACATCTGTGCTTTTATTTCTGGGAGGTGAGGAGAGGTGGGAGTACAGAATATTGTCCAAGCTTTTCACATCTCCTTGTGCACACAAATGAACTACATTTATTTCTGTTTTTTAATCCTTATTTCATTTTACCATTCTCCAAGTACATATGTCTAAACAAACCAGAAACAATACCAAGATGGTAAATAACAGACAGCTCAAATTAACACCAAGGAAAAAGATGGCTCCATAGTCCAACCACCTGAAACCAAGTCACATCTTACTCAAACTGTAGACACTCTTCTCCAAAAGGAGCTTTATGTAACCTGTGTGTGCTGACCTACCAGACTGTGATGGGTCCCATCCACATTAGCACCAGACTTGTGAGATTTCAGAACTTCGCCGTAATCTGCTGCATTGAAATTAGTCTTCCATACCATCACCTGCAGAACAAGGCCAGATGGCTAAGTCACTTTTATGAAAACTTTTCACCACATTTGCTTAGAGGCCGATTTCACCTCCACGTCCGAGAAGGCTGATGTTACTGAATACAGATGGAGTTCTCAACCTGAAAGTGTCTTCTTTCAACATTTCTTGGGTTAGGAACATCATGAAACTAGACATACCCAGAGAACTTTGAAGCAACACATCAATTATAGCATTAAAACCACAAATACATTAAAATATTACATGTAGTATTACAGCACTTAGTCACACACCAAACTAGTTGCTGTTTTATCAATGCATTCATTCACAGGAAAAGGAGAGATCAGCACTTTGAGACGAACATCAGACATTTTGAGTCAGTTTGCCAGCTAATAAGTCCCACTTAAAGGCATGGCCTCTCCATAATGCAGCATTTATTTCAAAAGAGAAGAGTTGTAACTGAACCTCTAACACAAAAACCACTTCAACACATGAAGAGCAAGTCTACGGGGCAAAATCCTGAAGAGCTGACATTCTAAAGAGTCAAAAAAGTCTAAGGGCATCAATCGACTGTTTTGAAAGTCTGAAAGACATTGTAAATCTCAGTAGTTCATTTTAGTTATCAGAAACATTGCTGTACACACAGCTTCATTCCTGCCTTCTGTGAAATGTAGAAGGGCTTTTTTTTGTACTTACATAGATCCAACGACCAATATGGCCATTCCAGAGAGTAATAGGAGTAACAGGAAAACACGATGCTCCTTATTGTACACAATACTTTCTTCACAGCTTCATAGATCAGTGGCCAGACAGCCTACTAACTATTCTATTCAGTATTTGAACCATCTTTTTGAATGAGAACATCTAAATTTCCTCACACACGTTTTCTCTCCGATCTCTAGAGATGTGTTGCTATTTTCATCAGCTCTCATGTTTCTCCTGATCCAGAAAGCCAGTGTCCAGCAAGATCCTTCCACAGAAAAATCTCATACGTATACAAGGACCAATGTCGCTTTTAATCCATGCCCGTCCTGTATGTGAAAGTTCTTCCTCCGTACACAGGAGAAAGAAGCACTGCTGAAACTGTGCTCAGAAACAAACCTAACAGGGGAGAGGCAACTCCTTCACGAAAGCTCGCGGCCGATGCTCCCGATGGCTCAGAAACACATGCAACCATGAGCTGCAGTGGCACTGATGGCCACAAGTGTCAGTGTGACCAAACGGCAGAAACATGCCTTCACAAAGCACCCTCCTGAGGAAGCACTGCCACGCAGTGTCTCAGCTAACAATACCCAGAGGGAGATACTGCAAAGAAAGAGTGAATCTCGTCCGCAATGAAAACGGGTCCCAGCGAGAGGAAAGACAGAGGACCTGATGAAATAAAGCTTCTCACAGGAATCTGCGCAGTGGGCCAAGTGCAGGGTAACAAACCTCTCAAAATAGAAACTAAAAATCATAAAAAAGAAAAATCAACTTCTTAGCTATGCCTAAGAATCAAAGACAAAGATAGGAGTTTTCACAAAAGTGAATGCTTTGGAAAATAAATAACAGAGAATCACTAAGCAACTCCAACTTCCAGCAACACCAGGCGTTCTTATGGGAGAAAGAAACAACAGCAAAGATGCTTATTTGCTTCTCGTGTTAGATAAGCATTTCAAGAGCAAATCTTAATAAAAGTGACACTAGTATAATTTTATAGAAAAAAAAAAAATAGATGAGTTTCTCCTCTTTAAAATCCCTTTAATTTTTTTAAAGGAAATAACATGGTATTAAAGAGACAAGATGGTAAACTACACCACCTATCTTAGCATAAAATGGCATTAAAATGCAGCTGACAAGAACTACAAGCAGGACTGATTTCCTTCTCAATAGTATGCTGAGAACACATATTACATAGAGAACCTACCAAGGCATTTCAGCACAGTCCAGACATGTCTGCTATGTTTTTGTTTTCTCATGCAGACAACAGAAAAGAAACCCCAACATGTTTTAAACAAATGTGAACCTGGATTATAATTCAGGACCAGAAGCAAAAGGAATAGAGAAGGGCTTCATCCACAAAAACCCTTCACCAGCAGTACGATACGCTCAGGTTCTCAATCCCAGAGTCCATGTCAAGCTCAGAGAAAAGCCCAGCTCTGGCTCCAGCAGCTGTGTAACTGCAGCATTTGCAAAGCTTTGCTCCAGCCCTTACTAACAGAACAATCTCATGTCTGCTCAGAATCAAATCCACCTAAGGAGACAGCTTCTTCTCAAATAGAACTGAAAGGCAGATCTACAGGAGGATAAGAGCACTGTAAAATGCAAAATATAAGCTCACAGGCAGTGGAGCAGTGGACTCTGGAAGAGCACTGAGGGAAGCATCACCACCTGCTTCCTCATCCCTTTACCCATCTCTCAGAACTAGGCAGAGGCAGAAGAGGAGACAAACTCAGGCAATGACAACAGATCTTCAGGCTGTTTCAGTGCAGGCAGTTGCACCCCCTATAGCCTATTCTCCACCAGCAGCCAGAAGCCTCAAAAACGCATATCACAAGGCCTGTACGCAGGGTAATGTTTTCTGTTGTCCATACTACACTCCCAACTAGCCCACCATAAGTGCTTCCTCAGTGAGAAAATATTTATTGTTACTTTCTAACATTGGTTCTCTCTCTGAAAGCAGTAAGATGCTTAAAACAAACAAACAGTAACATAGAAAGTAACAACAGCAACAAACATAACAATAAAAGGAAACCAGTCACCCACCTGCTCATCAGATCCTCCAGAGGCAAAGAAGTCTCCAGTTCTGGAGAATGCTACGCAGGTGGCTGGACCCTGTGAATAAAATTTAAAGACATTTAAAACAAATATGGAAAAAAAAAACCAGTCTCCATTGATTACAAGGTATGTCCCTCATGACATCAGCAAGATGTCAAAAATCCTTCTCTGTCAGGTAAGCAGCTCACAGTTACTGCACTAGGATAACTGGCACTCGGTTATCCTTTCCCCCACTTTCACTTGCAATTTAAGATCCACAGCATTAAGATGGAGTGAGGAACAAATCAGTTTTACAACTCCAGGCTTTGCCTTTTTCTCCCTCAGTCATCCCCTTCCCTTAAGAATTAGCATTTCCTAAAGCTCCTGCTCATTTTTTCACAAATGCTGAGTTTGTTACGGGCAGCCTTCAGGGACACACCTGAAGAGGAGGCTCAAAGGGGAAAAGGAGGGTTCAAAACACACTGATGCAGGTAATGCTGCATCAAGTGGTGTTAGAAAAAAAATATTGACAAGTCTGAGCATTCAGAAATCATTCACTGTGCCCCATAAATATACAGGGTTTCTTTTACAAACTGTTAAAAGGACGATGATCCCATACAATCTCTGAAGTCATGGCAATTACAGCCTATGTTTTCCAAGTTCCTCTTCACACCATCAATAATCGAAATGTGAAAGAAAAACCCACTGAAACAAGATTTTCCACATAATCACGTATAGCTCCCAGGTCCATAACTTCAAGAGTTACCTCACATCTTCAGGAGACTGACAACAAGAGAGAACACATTTCATGGACTGCTATGAACAATAGGACCACCATGGAACATAGCACCTGTCCTCCACGCACCACCTCAACAGCCTGTCTTTCAAAAATACACAGATGCCAGTAAGGGACAGCATAAAACAGTGGCTGATGACAAAAACACTAACAAGTAGTGCTAAATGCAAGAGGTGAAAGGCAATCAGTTCTACTATGAGTTATTATGAACAAAAGGTTTTGTTTCCACAGCTGCCATGTGCTCTCACAGATTTCTCTATATGATCCATGCAGACTGCTCAATACAGAAGATCTTGCCAGTCCACCATGAAATAACTTCACACCGTGCCTGAGCAGTTATCAACCAATGCAATCAATTTGCATCAATCAATCTGGCCAAGGTTAGAAGAATTTCCAACCTAGGAATCTGTACAATCTGGATAACTGCAGAGGATTCAGGGCAGGATACAGTTATTCATTTTGATGACCCAGTCATCAAGGTCCATAACAAACAAGCCCACGGTTCTCTGCACAGGAGGAAGAAAACGACAAGGCTGCCTGAGCACCGCTGCAAAGAATAGGTGGCAGAAGAGTGGCAGATGGAGCAGCATCAGCAGAGCATATCTGTCTTTGCACATTAGCTTCAGTTTAAGGAGCACTGCGATACAGTTTTGGAGGCGGCAGCAATGCTTCGTACCTCCTCACACGTGGGATGTGCAGACAGACAACAAATGGACACCTGCAGCAGCAATGGAGGGTGCAAGAAGCAGGCAGGCATTCCCTACAGCACTGCAGTTGGCCACTGTTAAGCTACAATGTGACAGCAGTTGTCACATTAAGTGAAGAACAGAAGACTAGCCCAAAACAGACTCTTTCTTAAAAGATTTATGGAAGAGATGCACAAATTAATGTCTCCCGGATCCCACCTTCGTACAGCACAGGCAGCTGTATTTTGAAGAAGCCTTTCATTTTGGGAAGTCACTTCTGAGTCTTTAGATGTTACTGACTGAAGTACTACTTGAGCAAAAGCATGAATTTCACACCACAAATTTATTTTAGTATGTTTCCAATCTTTTAAGTAATCCTACAGGAAGAAATACATGGGAAGGATGAGCCAAGAAGCTAAACAAAGCTGGGAAATCATTAAGTGTGTTCAAGCACAGGCACAAGAGACAAACTGTTCCAGTCAGAATCAGGCAAGGATCCAGACAATTTCTGTTTTTTTTCTTAATGTCAACTGTTAGAGCCACTACCTTGCACCGTTTGAAGCCTGAGCTTTTGCCAAAGCTGGAATGAGCAGAGGCTGAAATAAACGTTTCCAGAGCTGAGCTGGCTGAAAAAGAAAGCTGAGTTTGCAGCAGACTGAAAAACGATCAGAAAAATCACCACTATTACAATAAGAGAACTCCACCACACTCTGAGTTATCTTCTTTCAAGTAACAGTGTATGTATCTAAGAAGACAGGTAAGAAGCTTCTCATTACTGCACTACAAGTTACAAGAACGGACTGTCCCAATAGGAGCTTTCTGATAGGAGCTCACGTCTTCCCAAAGAGCTCTAGATGTGAAACTCACATCCAGCTTATTTCTGTTTCTCCTTTGTTCTTCTTCTTTAAAAAGGTGAACTCTTCATTATAAGTCTTACAGCCCGACGAACACACAGAGATCACATTTGGGATGAACACACTACACTCACTGCACTTGGTGCCATGCAGTCCTTCCTGCCTTCAGATCTGCTGGCACAAGATTATACCAGCAAAACTAACATTTCAATTGGGAGTTCTAGACTCCTTAAAAAACACTGGAAGATATTTCCATGCTATCGTTTCACTAGAAGCAATTTCAAAAGGTTTCTTAGGCTTCTTAATAGAAACATTTCATTCTGCAGAAATCTTGCTGAAGCACACGCACAATCATTAGTGTGACTAAGCTTGTACAACTAATTCAGCATTAATTACTGCAGATATTTCAAACGAGAGACACTGTCATTTATCAGCTGAGACAAAATGTGCTTATGCCACTTTCTCCCACCCACCTTCTCCAACAGTTCAGCTGTCTGACCACACCACTGAGAACGCAGACCCTCTGAAGTAAATGGAAAAAGACAGGAACTGCACAATATTGCTCAAAGAAAGTTTTCTGAACGACGCAGAAAACGTAAGAGAAAGGAACCATTCACACTATCTGTGTCTGTCGGGGTATCAGATGCTATATTTAAAAGAATCAGCCTCCTGAGGTACGGTTAGGAGGGTGAAGAAACTATTCAAGATACTGCCTACGTCTCTTAAGACTCAGTGTTCAGGAACCGACTGAAGTGTGGAAGACTGCAGAACAGCAGTGTGTTGCAAAATGGCTTCATCAGTATAAATATTTCAGTGTATTTAGTCAAAATTTACTACAACGCAATCACATAAAATCAGGTAAACTGACTCCAAAGTCACAGCATTCTGAAAGGGAAAAAAAATGAAGTGCAGCCGAAAATATTCCTCCCAACACAGAAACTGATGTCAAAGGCCAACTGTACTCTTCTAAGTTCAAAGAAGGGAGACAAACAAGTTGACAGACACAGCATCCTCTACAGATGTTTTTACATTAAGTGAAAAGTCTATTTGCTATGCATATTTACAGCACCCCTCCCAGATAGAACAAACTATGTATGTCCTATTTGTTGCTGTAGCAAGCACATAAAACATCAAAACTAATCAGTGTGCTACTCAAGGAAGGAGTGTCGGGCAGAGTGGAGACACAACAGAGAGTCTTCAAAAGGACACACTGCTCTCACTCTGGATGCAGCCTACAGCCCTGGAAATACACACAGACAGAAAAAAGAAAGAAAAAAAAAAGAGAAAGCCATACAAAAGCAATGATAACAGGATTATATCTAACCCTCTGCTGCGGATGCACAGTATCTTAAGCAATCTAACTGATGTGCAGGCTATCCCCAAGAGACAGACATTACTTTCTCCTTTCCCACCTCTAAGCTTTCTCACTTAGAGAATCACAGGGGTCAGAAGGGACCTCTATCAGTCACCCAGTCCAACTCCCTGCTAAGCAGGTCTCCTACAGTAGGTTGCACAAGAAAGTAACCAGGCTGGTATTTGAGTATCTCCAGAGAAGGAGAGTCCATGACCTGTCTGGGTTCCCATGCTCTGCAGCCCTTCAAGTAAAGACGTTTTCCATAACGTTCACATGAAACTTCCTCTGCTCCAGCCTGTGCTTGCTGCCCCTTGTGCTGCTGCTGGGCACCTCCAAAAAGAACCCATGGATCAAGGCTAACAACCACACAGCATTCGCTGCCTTAGCAATCCAGTTTGATCAGCTAACAGAACAAATTGCAGCCTTAAGAAAAGATGCTGAGAACTGTTCTGAATGGCTTTAACACAGTGTGCCTTCGCTGCCTTAGAAGGATGGAATCTGAAGCAAAGGTACAGATTACAGGACTCAATGATGGCAGGATGCTAGGAGCATCTGTAACAGTTGGCAAGGCCATGACAAGAGACAGAAGGAATAGCATCTGTGAAAACAAAGCTCTCAAACATGGTTCCAAAAATAGATCTCTCTAAAAAAATACTGAAGAGAGAGGCCAAGGGTTTGGTTTGGAGGAACGGAACTACGCTTGGAGCACGGAGTCATACTTGCTCACAAATGACAAATAAAAATGACTTATTTACCTATAAATAAGAATCAGATGATCACAGAGAAAGTCTTCTGGATTAGCTTTTCCTCCACAGCAAAACCAGTGAAGGAAAGATGATGATTTCACAAACAGCAGGGCCAACACCATCAGTCAATTCAACTCAAGAGAGGAAAGATTTTCACTTTAGAGTAACAGAAGGAACAGGAGCCAGTCTAGAGAGAATCCAAGATTAAATCACTGGCAAAAAGTTTAATGATGCACACTCTCTGAGATCAAAGGAGAGGCAGGCAGTTGGCTACAGTGACAGGCAGGGTCAACAGCGCTGACAGAATTATTTAATTTTACTTTCTAAAAATGTGGGAGAAACTAAGTCATACTAGAGAAGAGCCAGACAACAATGTAAGAAAGGTGCCAGGAGCTGGAACAAGGCATTTCTAGAGGATATGAATAACTTCTTTTGGAATACAACTGCTTCATTTGCTGCCCATGGGACAGAATATACCAGCCAATACATTCATTCAAACTCTCTTAGAACAGACTAAATAGTACAAGGAGGAATCACAGAGTGGCCAGGGTTGGAAGGGAGCTCAACGATCACGAATCTCCAATCCCCAGCCACAGGCAGGGCCACCAACCTCCCCATTTCATAGCAGCCCAGGCTGCCCAG